GCCTCTACATCTGTTGGTCCAGGTTGTACCTGGCCCAGGTACTTGTGCCCTGCCTTGCTGTCCTTCTTGGAACTGGTACTAGGCCTTACACTATCCCTGATAATGACTGATACTATCTCCTGGAGCCAGCCCTGCAGCCTGCCAGGAGCCTGTGACCTCATGCCCCAGAGAGCAGACCCACCCTGTCCTCTGTGAGGGAGTTTGGAGAGGAGTGAGGGCCCCACAGCCTCTGACCCTGCTGGGCCCCAAGAGGAACCACTTCCTTTCTTCTTCCCGTGAGAAGTGGGCCTCCTCCTTCACCCCTAGGCACCACTCTGCCCTGCAGTAAGTGAGCGGGAATGAGCCAAACTATCATGTGGGGGCTTCCCGCATCACGTGGGCTCTGGGGGACCTGGGGGCTGCCCTGCCTCCACTGCCATCAGGCCTGGCCCCAGAGCCACACCATAATTGTCACGCCCTTTAGGCCCCCACATTTGGCCCAACTTCAGCCTCCATCCCCAACTTTGCCACCTGGTGCAGAAGCCAGGGCATGGCCAGCTTCATCGGCAGTGAGAGGTGAAGCAAGAAGCCACAGCCACTAAGGTGACTGAGGTCCATGTCTGTTCCCACTGAACTGAGATGGATGGTGCCTTTCTTTTGCCTCCAAACCCAGCCACAGACACGAGACCCTTTCCTCTTGGCCCCAAGGCCTTCACAGAAGGGTTTATTTAAGGACCTTTACAGCCCAGTCCTGAGATTATCTTTTTATTACGACTTTGATTAATGATTGGTCAAAAACTGATACTAGACACATTGAAGAACAAATTTGCCCTAGAGATTAGGAAAGGTCCACAGCTGCCAAGCTTGGGGCCCTGTCCCACCCCTCCAAGGTCAGACCAGGACCAGGGCAAGGGTACACTGGAAGACCCGCCCCACCCATAGTTTTGCATGCATGCTCACACACACAGGAAAAAACAGGTATGAATGCCCTTAAATCCTTGTAGAAATTAGACGAGCTATAAATTACAAATAAATGGAGCCAGGGAGAGAGCCAAAGGACCTGAGGGCTCTTTGTAGAAATTTTTTTCTTGTTTTGTTTCTATTAATGCCTGTTACAAATTAGCATCATAAAGGGAAACTTGGAGTGTGGGGAAGAGAGAAGACAATAATCCTGGGGAGTAGAGTTCTGGCTGAGACACTTTTTTCTTGTCCCCTAGCTCCCCTGGGGTGCCTTGTGGCATGGGGAACAGAGAGCTGGCAGAGCTGCTTCTTAAGTGGAAACTGGAAAATGAAACTAGAAATCACAGCCTCGAAGCCCCAAGTGCTGAGGTCCCTTTTCCACAGGGAGAGTCCCTGAGAGAGAAGGAAGCAGAGGCGGGGGAGCAGTGTTTTCAGTGAGGACACGGGGGTGCTCCAAAAGCAGCCCTATAGTGGGCACGTCAACACAGGGTCGCCGGCAAGGGCTGCACTCTGCGCCAGCTTCCTCTGAGGCTGGCCAGCTTGCTGTCAACCCTGGGAGGGTTTCCTCTCTAGGAAGAGCTCATGTCATGCTTTCGGTCGAAAAACTCTTTTCAGAGGTACTTTAGGAAGGGCCCTGGCTCTCAGTTAATCTGAAAATGTTTAATTCTGAAAATGTTTCTCAGAATTAAGTGTTTCACACCAGCAGCTTCTTGTCCCCATGGCCTGCCAGGGCTCTCCCACCTGTGCACACCAGACTTGGGTGAGGGATGGAGGTGCTCGAGATCAAAGATCAAGAACCCCCAGCCCTCCTCTCCTGTGTCTCCACCCCACCCCACCCCACCCTCACTCACACACGCATAGGTGAGTCTGTGCTCACCCGGGCAGAAACACTGAAAGCAACTGCCAGCAAAGGCACCGCTCAGGCAACTTTACGGATGCCAGCAGAGCAGCTTTTTTGGAAGCCCATTTCCTGAAGGAACTGGACTGTAGGGGAGAGGAGGACAGTGGGGACGGGGCCAAGAACTGTCCCCACTCCCTAACTCCACACCCTCCCTCCGTTCTGCAGAGAATGGCTATTCTAACCCCCAGTCCCACACTCATTAAGACCCAGAAGTCGAAGTCGCACCCACATAGCACCCTGTGGTTTTCAGCTATCTGTGTGATTATTTGCCTAATGTCTGTCTCCTTCGCTGGAACTAAACCCTTCAAGGCCTGGAACGTGGTGTGGAGTCTGTGTGGTTCACTGTTGCATCCTTAGTGCTTGGGGTAGTGCCTGACATGTGGTAGGTGCACAAAAAGTATGTGTTCAATGAGTGAAGCCAGCCTCAAGAGCTCGAGTGAGGGGCAGTGCTCCAGCGAGGGACCTGCACTGACCTTCCTCAGCGTCCAGGCCCCCTTGCCCCAGCTCCTCAGAGCACCTTCCGTTACGGATGCTATGGACAGATCTGCCCAGACCCCAGCCCATGCAACGCTTTGACTGACCTGGTGTGTGCAGGGGTTTCTGAGGCCCGAAGGCTTAGCAAGGGATGGTGGAGGGCAGGGGAAGGGGTGTCCTGTGGCACGTTCTCCCTGGCCCTGACTTTGCTCCCATTATCTGAGAGATGGGCTCACATAGCCTCTTCCAGACAGGCCAGGCCACTTGGCTCCCTCGGCTGCCTAGAAAAGAAAGGCCATGTTTAGCCTGTGGGTCAGGAGACAAGTTGGCGGGGAGGGGTGGTGACAATGATAAAAAAGAAGGGGAGCAAATGAAGGATTCTGGTGGAAGAAACATGGACAGGGGAAGTAGCCCTGACTCCAGGTCCCACACCACCTTTAGTCTACTCAGCCTCACCTTCTCATCTGTAAGTGGAATTTGTTCTGGTGTATGGGCCCTGAAAGGCAATGTAACAGGAGATAATAGGGCAGAGTTTGGAACTGGGCTATCTGGGCTAAAACCCCAGCTTTGTTATTCACGGGCTATGTGACCTTTGAGACAATTACAGAATCTGTATCTTCGCTTCATTTCTCTCCTCTGTAAAATGGGAATGATTATAGCAGATTCTGTGAGTCAATTCATGTTCCTGACACATGGCGAGGGCTCGTCGTTATGTACGGCTGTGATTTCCTTAGCTGGGCTTGTGAGAGTCTAACAAGACGGCAAATACGAGCACAATTCAAGACTCGAAGGTACTGTAAAAACACGAGGAAACAATATTATTTTGGAAATATTGCAGGCCCAGCTTCCCTTCTACATTTGAGGTGGGGCAACAGTTTTACTTGTTTAATGCTAAGCTAGAAGATGCACCAGAGGGAGGTGAAAAACTGAAACCACCGACCGTTTGAGCTGCAGGCTGCACCGAAGCAGTGCGGCTGGTGCAGATGGTGAGGGCCTGGGCAGGCCCACTTCCTCCCTGCGTGCCGCGGCGCTTCCTCATACCAGCCGCTTCCCAAGGGCGCAGGAAGTGGGGCCAGGAACACTTCAGGGTGTGTGTGGGGAGGCCTAGGCAGGGGTCGGCAACTGCCAAGGCGGGAGCAGAAGAAGCCTTCGAGGTCCTCGTGAGG